GCGCGACTACTACGGCATAGTAGAAGAAATATACGAGCTCAATTTTGAGTGTCGCAAAGCTCCTAATCCAGTCGTATTCAAATGCCATTGGTTCGATCCTAATGTCACAAGAACAGCCCCTGAGATTGGACAAGTCAAAATTCGACAGGATTATGTCTATCAAGGAGAGGATGTCTATATTGTGGCTCAACAGGCCACACAAGTTTATTATCTCCCATGGGCGTGCCAAAAAGACCCCAATCTTATCGGTTGGTACCTTGTGCAGTTGGTATCGCCGCACGGTAAACTGCTTGTCCCAAACGATGAGGATTACAACTTTGACCCAAACACACGGGAGTTCTATCAACTAGAGGGGCTAGAAGGGAGGTTTGACATAGACATGTTTTCGTTGATGGGCATGGAAGTAGACAATGACATTGATCAGGACGATGGAGATGAGGATGACAGAGAAGAGGTGCAAAATGCTAAGGACTTACAAATGCTTGAGCGATGACAATGATGACAACGATGGAGATGAGCCTGATTTACTCGACAATATTGATAGTGATGACGACACCTATGATCCAGCCGCTGCCGATCGTGAAGAATATTTCTAATTCATGTAATACTATATTATTATTATTATTATTATTATTGCAATTATGTTTCGTTCATTTTGCATCTCTTTATAAGTACTTGTAATTTAACTGTGCTAATTGGTTTACTCTTTGAAATTGTAGGCACTCGACAAAATGCCGGGCGAAAGGCAGGCCCATCGGGGGGTCAACTCCCTCTACAAGAGGGAGCGCTCACCACCCCACGCTGAGGAGGACCCCTTGCCAGAGCCGCCGACGAGAAGGACCGCGGCCGTCCAAGGACGAGGGTGCAGCCGGTTGCCACCCCGTCGGTGGACGAGGACGACCAGGCGGTGGGCCTGCACATAGGAGGGGGTGGCACTTCCTCTGACTCGTCAGACCATGGGGAGGCAACGATAGTGACAGCAGGGGGTTCCACTTGCACTGCCTCTGGCTCTACCTCGTCGGGAGTCTACTTGCGCGGGCCCTCGCAGCTCCCGGCGCGGTCGATCCCACTTTACCGTCGCCCGGTGATTCGACCCAGCGGCGACAAGTAAGTATTATTTCACTACTATTTCATATGACATGTTGAAAATCGAACTAGAGACTAACAATTCTTCTTAATGACTCTTGCAGCAACTGGGAAGTTGTGTCCGGAACGGGCCGGCACATCAATGGCACCCTAGGCCTTCTGATTCGGCAGCACTACCCTGGCAAGGTCACCTACGCCTCGGTGACTTCGCCGCCGACGTGGGACCACTTTCTCGCGCCGCCGAGGACAAATGAAGTTCGGCACCGCTATGGCGTGGATCAAGGCCGAGTTCGGGTGAGTCTGCATCGCACTAAATTGGTCAATACTACGCATTCATTAGTCGTTCTTGAAATAATGAAATGATACATGATGTCTGTATGCAGGACTTCTTCAGGTGCGACGAAGGGTTTGAGGACCGGGCGGCGCGAGTGCAGGACAAGGTCTGTAGGTCCCGACTCTTAGACCTGTACCACGAGACGCGGCTCCAGTGCATCATCAACTACAGCGCCGACGTCCTTGGTCAGGTGGTGAGGAAGGCCAATGCTAGGACCAGGATGCTCACCAAGGAGCAGTACCTCTCGGTAAGTACAAAACATTAATACTGACTCCTTCCATGAAGAATAGGTAGGCTTTATTTCATCTTCTGACATATCAATAACTTGATGGCATGCAGCAATGTCCTGATTGGTGCGCCAGGCACCGCCTCTGCTGGGAGGCCATTGTGGACAGGTGGCTCTCGGGGGAGTGGACGGAGAAGCACAACATCCATCGGGACTACCGCCTGTAGATGGGTGGGGTGCCACACCACCAAGGCAACCGGAGCCTCAGCGCGTACGCCCAGACATGGGTAATCTTCTTTGTGTTTTCATCTTTATTTATTTATTCTAACGCTCAATTCTCATTACTTGTAATCATCTTTGTGTTTTCCTCGCAGTCCCAGGCGCACCAAGGCCAGGAATGCAACGAGTTCATGGCGTACGCCCTGGCACACAAGGGCAAGGCGATGGCCCTAGAAGTCACCTACAACCCGGCGGACGGGCCCGAGGCGTACACCAACGCGAGCGTCCACAACAAGCTTAGCGAGTACACCTCGGCGGCCCGTGAGCACCATGGGGAGGACTTCGATCCGGCCACCCAGTCCCTGGACACAGACCTCCTGATGAGGATGGGAGGAGGGAAGCAGCACGGTTGGTACTGGATGGCGGACAGCACAGTCGACTCCGTCTCTGTTCCCAACCTCGCCGAGATTCGGGCAAGGAGCACGAGCTCCTCCCTCCACATATGCTCTTAGCAGCAGATGGCGGAACTCTAGGTTAGTACTATTTTATTCGTCGTTCATTGCTTTTACATATCTACCTTGCATTTGCATTGTTTAAACATTGCGGGTGGAATGTTGCAGGCCGACTTGCGGAGGTTGGAGGCCCAAGAGGCGCCCAAAGTGAGGCCCATCGGTGGAGATGGAGATCTGACAAGCCTGTGAGGGCGGCCGAGGCACGAGGGAGGCAGGACATGTTCAGCTTCATGGCGAGCCTTTAGGCCTTGCCAGGTGTGGTCGTGCCCCAGTCGCTGCTCGCTCCAGTTGTGGCTCCTCCTCCTGTAGGGACTCCGGTGAGTATATATGGTTGTTTATTCCTTTAGCTTGTGCGGCTCTCCTGTAGATACTCATGAATTCTCTTCTCCTTTGTGCAGCCACAGTCGGCGGGTTCGAACCGGACTCCTCAAGGTGGCCTTTCTCCACAGGCCGGGTGGCCAACTGGCCCTCCTCAAGGTGGCAGTTCACACTCCGGGTAGGGAGGCTGGCAGTAGGTACCGTTTATTTGTTTATTTTTATGTTGCATGGACTTGTGTTAGACTTAGCCTTATGTTGGACTACTATTAGAGACATATATATATATATATATATATATATGTGATGGATATTGTCATGGATGATGCGAATGTATGTGATGGATTATGGATAATGGATTTGTATGTGATGTATTATGGATGGTGGATGTGTATGTGATGGGTTATGGATGTGTATGTGATGGAATATGGATGTGTATGTGATATATCTTGTGTCGTGTGTTGATATATATGTGATTTCTTTGTTTGTGCTGATGGAAAGCAAAAAACAAAAAAAATAGCATTTTTTCCCTCTTTGCCGAGTGCCACACTCGGCAAAGCTGGGAAGCAGAGACCCAATTTCCCAGCTTTGCCGAGTGCCAGAGCCATGGCACTCGGCAAAGATTTTTTTTTAAAAAAAAGAAAAAATTTCTTTGCCAAGTGCAAGAGTCTGGCACTCGGCAAAGAATTTTCAAAAAAAAATTCTTTGCCGAGTGCCGCGGAGGTGGCACTCAGCAAAGAGGCCGTCAGAGTTGACGTCGGATTTTTTTTTTGCCGAGTGCTGACGTGACACTCGGCAAAGGCTTTACCGAGTGCCCGATATGTGGCAGTCGGCAAAGAAACCTTTGCCGACGGGTTCTTTGCCGAGTGCTCTTTGCCGAGTGCGGCACTCGGCAAAGCCTTTGCCGAGTGCAATAGGAGCTTTGCCGAGTGCCCTAAGCACTCGGCAAAGAGCCCGTCTGCAGTAGTGACCTAAGCCAACAAAAAAAGCCAAAAGGCAAAAATAGAAATGTACATACACACAATGTTTTTTGAAAAAATCGCAAAGAAAGTGGTGTATCTTGAAGGAAAAAAAAAAGGTGTTAACTATTCCTTCTGTTTCATATTATAACTTATTTTTGGCTTTTCAGATATATAACAAAATCTATATATATTCTTATTCCAAAATAACTGCACGTCTTCAATGAATCAAACTTTTTAAAATGTGACTAGAGTACCTAGCAAAAAAATGACTTCAAAACAACAGAATGTATAATTATTTTGAGACAGATAGAGTACCTAGCAAAACCAAAACAATATATAATTTTGGACGTAGGAGCAACAAACACCATCGTCGCGGAGGATCGATCTATGCTTTGCATTGGTTGTTCCGGCTGTACGCATCAACAGTGCCGCAGGAAGGTGACAAAGTTTGAGCATGCCAAACATACGACAGAGGAAATTATCGGCACAAGTGGGAGCTTTCCATTCTCTCCTTCCCACTCCAGCCGGTCTCAGCTAGCGCTCTCAAAGAAATCAGATTATATTACTCATCAATGATATTCTTTTTTTTTTGAATCAACATCAATGATATTCTTGAATGTAAGCAATATATACAAGAACGATGTCGATCTCCGTTGCTGCCATCTTCTTGGCATTGTACGGCTCGTGAAGAAGTGAACCGGACTCGCGTCGAGGGTGGAGCGGCATGCCGGCGGTGCATCGCCACACTATCGGGTCGGACCACACGCCTATAGGCTTTCTCAGGGCAGTACCACCCTACCGCCATCCCTATCAGCTCGATCTCCATGCATGACCACCAATAATTATCAGACTATATAATCACTTAATCAGCTGCGTGTTAATTTATGACCACTCATTATTAGTAGGACTGCTTACTGAGTGTATCCTCGCCTCAACAATCATCAACAAAGACATAGCACTGAGAAACAAAAGAGAGATGTGTAGCTCCGTCGGCTGCCCCGCACCGCCCGTCAGTTGCTCGGGATTTTCTCGCTGGGCCCATCCCGTCAAGATCAAGTTGGCTGCTGCTTACATGCACGCCCGACGACGCGCGGACAGGGACAGCAGCGTGAGGCGTTCCAACACTGCAAGCACGCGCGCACACTGAACTGAAGCCGACCCGTGTGATGAGCATGTGCTAGCAACTTGCATTGGCCACGCACGCGCCGCCTATTATAAATAGCGGATCAATGCAGCAGCATGAGCTACAACTCATCAGCTCAGCACAATCTCAACCTCGCTCCGTACAACAGACCGAGAGGCAGCTGGTAAAAACACTAGCGATCGAGCAGCAACCAAGCAATATAATGGCGCCGAAGAGCCTTGTCCTCGCCTCTCTGCTCATCGTCGTCGTCGTCTCCGCCAGGCAGCTGCCCCGCGGTGCGGCGGGGCTGGGGGCGAGCCCCAACACCAACACCAGCTTCGTCGTCTCCGGCATCGTGCCATGCGCCACCGGGAACTCCATCAACCTGGCCACGGTCCCGTCGTTCCCCAGTAAGCAGGACACACGGATATAGGCCCTGTCGTCTGAATACGTATTATTATCTGTAATAACAGTTTTTCAGGACGTCGATCTTATATATGTTTCCCCCTGTCATCTCTGGTCGTGCCAGACGCCCTTGTGCAGCTCGTGTGCGGCAGCAACGTAGTGGGCAGCACGACGACGGACAGCACCGGGGCCTTCCTCTTCAGCCAAAGCAGTGCCAGCAGGGATCTGGTCGCCGCCATTCTGGGCAACCTGTGCAAGGTGGTCGTGGCCACCCCACTTGGCGCGTGCGACAAGTTCCTGGCCGGAGCCACCGGGACGCTGTCGGCGCCGCTGAAGCTCCTGGACATCACCACGGGCAGCGGCAGCGGCAGCGACCTCGGTGGTCTCTTCGGCGGGATCATCGGTCTCGTTGGGCAGATCCTCGGCGGCCTCATTGGCGGCATCCTCAACCTCGGCACCCAGTCCTTCTCATTCGTCTAAGCTCTCAGGCGGGCTAGCTGGACGAGCTGTCCATGTTAATCTATCGACGACGGCAAATATATATATATATATATAACTAAGCATAAATCAATACGTATAGCGGTGGATAATGTTCATTGGGGCTGCTTTGTTTACTTTGTATCGCCAACATCACGTGTGTTAGGACGTGTATAAACTATATAAACTGTACCTATTACTCCTGTATCATGCATGCGTGCTTCAAAGAAGCACACATATATATCTACCGTGTATCGCCCTTTGTTGCCTCGTCGCTTGTTTGTGAAAAGAAAAAGCTTACGTGTGTGATTATTGATCCTGTTGCCTGTGCATCGAGAATTATTGTTGATCTTGATCAGGGCATTTTGGGAAGACGTTGCCTGTTCCATTTGCTAGACCCGTGTCACGATTTTTTAATGGAAAACAACAATCAACTAACGTGTGCCGCCCCCGAACTGTCATGGCCCTCCTTTTATCCTCTCTCACTGCTAGTCTGCTACTGGCTAGTATCGCTGTTCTCTCCAGTCTCCATTGATGTTTCGAATATCCAGCCTACCTGCTCAACTTGCTCAAGACTGAAAATGATTATTTGTTCATTTTCAAATCCCCACTGATTTTTTTAATTCAAATAAATTTTGAAAATTTGACACTGCTGACCCCCCTAACATTAAAAAAAAATAACTTCCTGGCTCCGCCCCTGCAGGGATGAGCTGACCGGTCAAAGGAAGAGGAATGGTCCGGGATGTCTCATCAACACCTTGATAGACAAGGTGGATTAGTAGACGGAAACTAACATGCATATATAATTTTACCTGGTTAGATCTCTTTGTAACCGAATTGGAAAGGAAAATCAACATGTAACCCTATCTCTTATAGACCATATAAGGAGCGGTATGAGACGCCTGTTCAGCATCAGGAAATATCCCACGAACACACACACCAATAACCTTGCAAACTCTTGCAGACAGCGCAGAAGCAATACAACTCTCCTCATAATTGGACTTGGGGCATCCGGTGACTAAATTGGCCGTAAAGATATGTGGCCATGAAAAAGGGAGGGGATACAATGGGACAGGATTGGCCGGGCGTTAGAGTCGTGGAAACACTTGTTGATTCCTACTTTGGACCCTAGCTCCATTGAACAATATGCTACTACGGAAACATAGAATAATTACAATCTTAGATCAAAACACCATGTATGGGATGATATGAACTGCTTAAATAAGAATTCTTGAGTGTCGAATAACTTGAGTACTAACTACATCAAGCAATTTGCATTGTTTACAACCCGTTGAATCAAAGCAACAATTGATCAATCTATATATATGTGCACCCTATACGTTTACAAAAGTTGAATAAACTTAATAATAAATTTGACATAATTTACAAATAGTGATTTCTTTATTTAACTCATGGAGTCATCATCATGTTATCCCATTGGACGAGAGGCCGAGAGCCCTTCCACACAGGATTCTCTAGATAGATATGCATTTTGTATCACTCTTACGCCTATAATTGCTTGGAAGAGCAAGCCTCCAGAACCACGGTTCACTGTGTCACCGAATAGGCAGGGGCGAAGCTTCATTGGGGCCATAGTGGTGCCATGCCCCCCCCCCCCCCCCTCATTTTTTTCAATTCTACATAGGATACACTATAGATTTATGTATATTTTGCTAAAAAGTTTTATAATGGATCCCAATAATCTCTAAAGCATGTATATTTTCTTGTTGGCCCCTCTAGCCTCTATATTTATCCTCAAGCTCTGCCACTGTGAGTAGGCATCCGTTTCTAAATTAACTACACCAAATGACCATTATTCTCTCTGCACTGCATCATTTTTCGGTTAACTAAACCGAATATAGCCAAGGTCATGGTTGATCCAAGCAATGGCACCACCGATGCATTTATCATTGGTTCTACTTCAGAGCATCTCCAAGAGACTCTTTATATCCTTCCTAAATGCTAGAAATAGAGATTTTAGTGAAAACAACCATCCAACAGTTTTTCTAAATGGTCATCCAAATATAGCCATCTTCTATTCCGGATTTTTTTCTAGCCAAAAATAGAAGACGAGAATGCCTCTCTAGAGTGCGCATGAGATATAGAAAAACTGTTGGAGAGTGAAAAGATATAGAAAACGATTTTTTTATGCAAATGACTCTTCAAATGATGATTTAGAGAGTGAGATTTAGAAAGACTCTTGGAGATGCTCTCAGTGTACTTCCTGTTCTTTCTCCATTTTCGTATGATCTATATATTTTGCTTAGTCACGCTAGTAATATGCAAAACAAGACCACATATGTACATACATGTCACGTTCATCTTCATTAATTTCTAGATTACAATACGTCATTGTCGACGAAATATGGTCGGCAGTCCATCTAGGGGTATGCCCATGATGGTAGATTGCCGGTAGACGGTGCGCGTAATCAGGAACCAGATGGTTACAGAGGCACAAGACACAAGTTTTATATAGGTTCGACCGCCGTGTAGGCGTAATACCTACGTCATGTGTCTTATTATTCTGTATTGATTGAGGTCTGTTGGAGATATCGACTAGGGGACCCCTGCCTCTCCTTATATAGTCTGGAGGAGGAGAGTTACAAGTAAAGTATCCTATTTGGTACTATTATAATATCTAGTACAACTTGTAATCTTGCTGTGCACGCCTCGATCTTACAGGCCGGGCCACCTCTGATGGTGCAGCCCATGTCTTGTCTTGATGATACCGGGGGCCATACCCCCACAGCTAGTCCCCGAGCGCCTTGTATCCTTCGAGTAGCGTCGTCTTGAGCTTGCCAGAAGGATGTAAGGGGCTCAAGATAAAATTTGAAAAATATTTCCCTCGAAGTGTGCCCACTTTGACTCTGAGTCGAGAAGAGACACCGTCGTCCTTGTAGAATCGGAGGCGTTTGATCCATCAGAGCGAGCACATTCACCGCAAGGTGAAGTGTGCCCACTTAGTCCCCGAGCCTGGTAGTAGGTGACGTAGGCACTTAGTCCCCGAGCCTGGTAGTTGGTGAGAATCCAATCGTCGTACAGGCGATACAAGATGCACCGACAGGTGCATCGTACCGTTGTAGTCTCCGAGCTTGCTGGAAGGCGAGGTATGAGCCTTGTAGCAAGGTCCAAACGAGAAAGAATATCCCAATTGTATGCGAGTCGCCAGTCGCATGTAGTTGAGACACAAAGTCCCCGAGCTGTGGTCGGAGAGTGGTCGAGGCAGTCCCCGAGCACAAAGGCGGCATCAACAAGTCAGCTGGGAGCACCGTCATCTTCAAGCTAACCGGCGAAGCCTACGGTCTCGACCAGCCAGGCATCGGCGGGGCCATCTTCTTCAGCTAGATCAATGCCAGAGTCCCCGAGACCCGAGCACGATGTCAGGCCTGGCGAACAGCAGGTGCCGCGTGACTCGACCAGCCAATAGTATAGGCTATAGCAGTTTAGTCGACACGTCATCCTGAAAGGTTTGTATGGCCCTGGTTTGCCCTGTGATCGGAGTGTGAGGTGCGTAGCCTGTGCACACGTAGACGCACACAAGTCAAACCAGAGAAGACCTGCCGATCACCTGTAGCGTAGAGAGCAGATCCCATGCACGCGTTGGGAGGAACCAGAGACAGGGCCTGCTCCGAAAACCCGGGAAGGAATGGTGGTCGGTTTTGACTGGTTGAGTTAGAATATCTCAACTGTATGCGAGTCGTCAATCGCATGTAGTTGAGACGCAAAGTCCCCGAGCTATGGTCGGAGAGTGGTCGAGGCAGTCCCCGAGCACAGGTCGAGGGGCGAGCGGCAGAGTCCACGAGCTGTGGTCGGAGAGTCGTCCAGGCAGTCCCCAAGCACAAGTTGAGAGGCGAGCGGCGAAGTCCCTGAGCGTAGCTCGAGATTCCTGCAATATAAATATATAGAATGATAGTACATGATGTACAAAATAATAAATTATGGAGAAAAATCAGCGGTGAAGAAATAACGCTCAGCAGTCGTTTGCAAATGAGCATGATGTGATAAAGCAGTTGGTGCTTTGTAAACATCAGTGTTAATGTGAAGTTTGTGTTTATACTTAATATAAATCGTCCGACCAGTTAGTATATAGCTGAGCCTCCAGCTCTAGCTAGCCCATTAACCATAACGCGGGGCGCAGAGCCCGTGCACGTGTAGGAAGAACAAAGCGTCGCTAAGGAGCCGCTGCCGACCACCCGTAACGCAGAGGGCAGACGCTCGTGCACGTGTAGGGAGGAGCCAGAGACAGGGCCTTTTCTGGAGACATTGAGCGTCAACATGACTGGTCGAGGATTTGCATTAAGTATAGCTGTATGTTATATTTAAGATTGTATACATGAACAAACGTTATTTGAAGAATAATCATGACAAGGACGTTGTGGAGAAACGTCGTAATGAAAATTGTATAAAATATAAATATTAGAAGTGTACTTATCTTTGGATAGAAATCTGGTCGGTGGCAATGAAGTTGTCCGGTCCTCGAGCTTTCCGACTTGTCGTCACGACGATGGTCGCGGTTGTCGTAGCGCCGTTCTTCGCGGCGATCATCATTGCGACGTGGTCTGGTGGTCAACGTGGTCGGAGCTCGGCAGAGCCGCTCGGGACGTGGTCGACGTGGTCTGGTGGTCGATGTGGTCGGAGCTCGGCAGAGCCGCTCGGGACGTGGTCTGGTGGTCGGAGCTCGGCGGAATCCTCAAGACAAATAACAGAGCACAGTCCACCGAGATGAAAGTGCTCAAATATTTCTTCGATTGCTCTAGTTTGCTCGTACGGCCGATTAGCATCTTTGATGGAAACATAGCTCCATGTTGCTTTATTGCTGGCCGCCGCTTGATCGTTGGAGTGCAGTAGATGCGAAATCAGATCCGTCTGTCGAGGGATGCCGCCGCCAGTCGCCAGGTTGCCACGGATGAAGTTGGTGAAGAAAATCCCATCTGGTTCGCCGGAGGATCAGCACGCACAACCCCTAAAAGGGGACCCCTACTTGGCGCGCCACTGTCGACGAA